CCAGGCACTGGCTGATTTGGGGCTGCCAAGTTCTATTGATCCGCTGCTGCGTGCCGTCTCCGGTTCCCCTTTCGCTCTGTTTTATTCTATTAATACCGTTGTGGCGTGATTTGACCGGGAGCCACCCTGGCAGGTTCTTTTTGACAGAAGAAAGCAATTAAAATGTCCTAGATAAATAAACATTGATCTTAGGTGGTTGTTTGTTTGTTTTTAAATTACAGCCAGCGATGTTTCAGAGCAAATATAGCCATTATATTTTTTTTAAAAAATGAGCAGATACATTTCCACTTTCCATCAGGGAATTCCAGGGCATTTTACCCTGTTTGCAGACAGTGTTTCCTCTAAGCTAGTGTGAGCTAGCTCACAGGTTTTTAGCCTCCGGCTCACACATTTTTGTCTTTGCTCAGGAAGGATGGCTCCAGAGCTAACTAATTGATGCAGGAGCCCAATCGCTCACTCACAACTTGAATGCCAGTTGCTCACAAAGATGATTTTTTTGCTCACAAGACTCCACAGCTTAGAGCAAATGTGTCGAACTCATTTGTTATGAGGGCCGGATCTGACAGAAATGAGACCTTGTTGGGCCGGGCCATGTATGTCATAAAAGGTAATGCCAGGTGGCAGAGAGATAAACTTCATAAAGGACACAAACACAAAGGTGGGTTTTTAACTTAAAATAAAAACATGCTTAGAACATCGGCACTCTTGCAATATTTTGTTTATTTAACAGTGTCTGATAACTGACACCTCTTGCTCCGAATTATTGCATCAAAATGTCTGTGCTGTTGCAATCCTGAGTATGCTGTTCAGGTGTGTATCCGTAAGCTGCAAACCTACGATGACACAGCAGTGGCAGAACTGGAAGAAGAAGCAGGAGACAGACAGTTTTACTGCGGGCCTGATAGAAGCCCTCTGGGGACCTGATCCGGCCCCCGGGCTACACATTTGACACCCCTGGCTTAGAGGGAGCAATGCTTGCAGAGTCCTTACCAGAAGAAAACAGACCAAACCATAAGAGCTTATCTGTAGATAATATTGCCAGCTCCTTAGCAAACAGATCCCGGTTGGTCTAAAGCAGTACAAAGCACCTTAAAGGTGCCACTGGGCTCTAAATTTGTTCTACTGCGGCTGACCCCCTGGATCTATCTCTTAAAGGTACCACTGGATTCTAAATTCCTTAGCAAACAGTCACTCTGCTCACGAGCAATGCCCCCTCTAAGCTGTGGAGTCTTGTGAGCAAAAATGCTACTTTGTGAGCTACTGGCATTAAAGTTGTGAGCGAGCGATTGGGCTGCTGCATCAATTAGTTTGCGCTGGAGCCACCCCAATGTGAGCCAGAGGTTAAAAAACTGTGAGGTTAAAAAACTGGCTTTAAAGTTGTGAGCATGTAGTTTTGCTACTGCATCAATTCGTTTGCTCTGGAGCGATCCCCTCCCTGAGCTAAGAGAAAAATATGTGAGCTGGAGGCTAAAAAACTGTGAGCTAGCTCACACTAACTCAGCTTAGAGGGAACACTGTCTGAGACTAATCCTCCTTTGCTTTATCTGTCCACAGTAGGTCCACTCCAGGTGGACCAAGGACTCTTTCAATAAGAGCTTGTTTTCAGCTGTTAAGATTAGAAGCCCAGTAGCACCTTCCAGACCAAGAAGATTTTCGGGGTCTAAGCCCTCAAGAATTAAAGCTCCCTTTGCCGGATAACTGTTTTCAACTGACCTCTCTTTGTAAGATTCCCCCCCCCCCCCCAGCATAACTGCTGTGCACTTCATACATCTGAAGCTGGCTCTGATTCACAAAAGCTTAAGTGTGGAACGAATTCTGTTTGTCTCTAAGATAGCCCAGGACAGATGCTTTATTTAACTGGCCCAAGGTTAACTAGGGAGTTCCAGGACTTCAGAGATTAGGTGGGCGGCAAACTGGGAGACTAAACTGAGGGCTGTCGTACTTTGGTCACGTGATGGACGACGAGACAAGAGTCACTGGAAGAGACAGCTGTGCTGGGAAAAGTGGAAGGCAGCAGGAAAAAAGGAAGATCCAACTAGAGATGTGAAGGCCCGGAAAAAAACCAGAAAAATTCAGGGGGGAGTTTTTTTCCTTAAACTTTTTTGGGTTTTTTCCAATAAATTGAAAAAAGAAAAAAAATGATTATGGAACGTTTTATTTTAACACGACAAATAAAATATTTTAGGACAAGGTGTTCAACTATTTTCCAAATCATTTCTAAAAAATATTTATGGTACCGGATTGATCTAATTTCTGTGCACTGAGGACAAGCAAGTCCTAGGTTACCAACTGAACTCTCCAATGCAAGAACAAGATGCATTTCTTCCTTTAGGACAGTGGTTCTCAACCTGTGGGTCGCGACCCCTTTGGGGCTTGAACGACCCTTTCACAGGGGTCGCCTAAGACCATCGGAAAACACAAATTTTCGATGGTCTTATGATAGCAACGAAAATAATTTTATGGTTGGGGGTCACCACAACATGGTGAACTGTATTAAAGGGTCGCGGCATTAGGAAGGTTGAGAACCACTGCTTTAGGAGGTGCTGTTGTCACAAGAAAAGAAAAAGGTTTCAGTTTTGTTTCTGCATGTGGGTGGGTATTCTGTTTGTAATAATTGTTTGGATATACGATATTTTTAATATGCTAGTTGTGATAATTTCATGCCAAGTAAAAATGTCCATAGTCATATTTTACGTTCCTAAAGTAACAGAATTACTTTCAATCTGGAAAAGAAAAAAGAAGTGCTAATGTAGCATTTTTTTTCAATTTTTCCAAAAATTTCCATTTTTACATCTCTAGACCCAACAGGAGGCAGATGGACTCAGTAAAAGAAGCCGGGCCCCTCAGTTTCACAGAATCATAGAGTAGGAAGGGATCTCCAAGGTCATCCAGTCCAACCCCCTGAACAATGCAGGGAATTCACACATACCTCCCCCTCACACAGTGACCGCTGTTCCACGTCCAGACGATGACAAAAAACCTCCAGGATCCCCAGCCAAACTGGCCTGGAGAAAAATTGCTTCAGTTTACGAAGTTTCCCGCCTGCAGTCATGGTGGTCAGATTGGGATTTGAGAGATGCGAGTTCAAATCCCCAGATCAATGGGTTCCCTCGGCCCAGCCACACTCAGCCCGGCCTACCTCGCAAGGCTGTCGCGATGATGAAATGGGAAAACGAGAAAACCACACAGACTACCACAAACTCCTTGAAAGAAAGGCCACGATAGTAACATCCTCAACAGTCAGATACTTAGGATTGGGTCCTTAACTTCCCAGCCGTGTGGTAGATACCGGACGGACCACTGCCGCTACCAAGCCGAAGACTTCAAGAGCTGCAAAAGACAAGAACCCCTCGAGAGCAATGCTCCCTCTAAGCTGTGGAGTCTTGTGAGCAAAAATTCTACTCTGTGAGCCGCTGGCACTAAAGTTGTGAGCGAGGCATTTGGATACGGCATAAATCAGTTTGCTCTGGACGCAGTGTTCCCTCTAAGCTGAGTTAGTTTGAGCCAGCTCACAGTTTTCTAGCCTCCGGCACACACATTTTTGTCTTAGCTCAGGAGGGATGGCTCCAGAGCAGACTAATTTATACAGTAGCCAAATCACCTGCTCACAACTTTAATGCCAGTAGCTCAGAAATTAGAATTTTTGCTCACAAGACTCCACGGCTTAGAGGGAACATTGCTCTGGCGCCATCCTTCCTGAGCGAAGACAAAAACGTGCGAGCTGGAGGCTAAAGAACTGTGAGCTAGCTCACACTGACTCAGCTTAGAGGGAACACTGCTTGAGAGTTGCAAAGAACTAGTTACTCACTTGCGGTCTCTCTCTGTGGCTCTCTTCTGGACCAAGGGTTGACTGCTGGTTGTCTTCTGGCTTGGCACCCCTAGATACTGGGGGGGTCGGATCCGGACCACCACTGAGCGCCCCCACCCCCAGCGCAGAATGCCCACCTCCCCCTGCGTGGCTTCACTCTGGCCCCATCCTTTGGCCCCTTCTGACCCAGAAGAGCCGGGTTCAAATCCCGCGGCCTCTTGATACTCTCCCGGAGCAATCGAGGCGCAGCGCCGGAGTTTCCCCTCCCGCCGCCAAGGCAAGGCGTCCGAAAAGGACGGTCGGGAAGCTGCAGAGCTAAGAAGAAGAGATTGGATTTATACCCCGCCCTTCACTTGGAGTCTCAGAGCGGCTTACAAACTCCTATCCCTTCCCCCTCCCCACAACAGACACCCTGTGAGGTTGGTGGGGCTGAGAGAGCTCTGACAGAAACTGCTCTTTTTCAAGGACAGCTGTGCCAGAGCTTGTGACTGACCCAAGGTCACACCAGCAGCTGCAAGTGGAGGAATGGGGAATCAAACCCGGCTCTCCCAGATTAGAGTCCACACACTTAACCACGACACCAGACTGGCTCTCTAAGGAAGAGGGATCCTGCAGGGGGGCAAGGCGCAACCACCCCCCCCCAGTCTACACTCCCAGCAAG